CAGTTTAAAAAGGCACTCAACAACCACACAATTCGAGCCGGGGCGGGGCACTGGTTAGCCCCAGGCCTGTCGAAACAACCAGGTTTTAAGGGCTTTGCCCTTTAAGGGTGGTGAGGGTCCGAATCTCCACGGGGAGCTCGTTCCAGAGGGCCGGAGCAGCCACAGAGAAGGCCCTCCTCCGGGTGGTAGCCAATCGGCATTGGCCAGTGGATGAAATTCGGAGGAGGCCTAATCTGTGGGATCTAATCGGTCTGTTGGAGGTAATTGGCAGCAGGCGGTCTCTCAAGTACCCAGGCAGTCTCTCAAGTACCAATATACCGCTTCATATTGCTTTCAGCCCTCTCTAAGCGGTTTACAGAGTCAGCATATCGCCCCCAACAATCCGGGTCCTCATATTCTCATTGTGCCCAGAGAGAGAAAAATCTGCCCTTACCTAGGATCGAACTCACAGCCTCCTGACTGTGAGGCGAGACTTCCACCTCTAGGCCACCGCACCACTCGTAGAATAGCTAAGAATCCTAAAAGTTAAGACCTATAAGTAAGTCCTTGTTTTACAATCATAATGGACCATCATGCACAGTGCTTTTGTAAGTCATGACACTCGTAAAGCAGATCCCCCCCCCCATCAGCCTGATTTTACTCCCAATTTTGTGACAGTCATTATGTAAAACACCCCGTAAAGCCATTAAGCGAAGTCATTGTTTCATTATGGGGCATTTTTGGTGAAGACTAGAAGTAATTTATTGACAAAAGTATCGGGGGGGAGGGTAACAGTCATGTGACCACAGGATGCTGAAAACACCCATAAATTTGAGCCAAGTATCCGACAGGTCACATGACCGGAGCAGCAACCAATGGGATTTGGGAACAAATATCTTTTTTTTTTGGAGAAGTTGTCGTAACTTCAAACGGTGTTAAGCATCTGGTCATAAATCGAGGACTACCTGTAATGGTTAAAACAATGTTTTTCAACCTTGGCGACTTTCAAGACGTGTGGACTTCAACTCCCAGAATTCCCCAGGCAGTATAGCTACCTATAGTATGTCCGTCTGGGGAATTCTGGGAGTTGAAGTCCACCCCTTAAAAGTTGCCAACATTGGAGGAAAAAAACCTTGACTTAGTACAGGGGTGTCAAACTCGATTTCATCGAGGGACCCATCAGGGCTGTGTTTGCCTTCGGGGGACCGGGTGGGCGTGGCCAGCTCGACATCACTTGCTGAGGTTCCGTTTTCGGCCACGATGGCCTCCTGCAGCCGTCTGCCAGCTAACATGGAGCCCGAGGGAGGCACACACAACCTCTCTGGGCTCCGTTTTCAGCCGTGATGGCCTCCTGCAGCCTTCTGCCAGCGAAAATGGATTTCAGGGAGGCTGTGCGCGGCACTCCCAGCCTCCTTTTTTGCTGTTGGAGGTACCACGAGCCGGTTCCCTGCTGTTTCCAGGGTCCCCCCCCCCCCTCGGGCCAGATCTAAGCACTCTGTGGGCTGGATCCAACCCATAGACCTTGATTTTGACACCCCTGGCTTAGAAGGTTGAATGAAGCACTGAATTTCTAACATTTCTACTTGACTGATGATTATTTTTGAGGTTAAACATGCATCAGTGAGCTTAATAGAGTTTCTTACATTTTTGTGGTTTGGGAACAATTAATTATTTTTAGCCTGGCTTAGTATAAGGTGTGGATTAGAACCGGACACAAAGTGGTTATGCAATCGGGGAATTAAACCCACGAGATTTTATACGGGGTTATTGTGCAGTGTCTACATTCCGAGATTTTCCTTTGCAAAGCAATTCTTGTACGCTAACATTTTTATATTTTATTTCATTGCCATTGCAGTTGGCGCTACGGGACGCCCTTTTAAAGCAGAAAAAAAGATTGACGAAATAACCGCGGGGCAGCAGAGGATATATAAATTTCGGAAATTATAGTTCGAAAAGTGAAAAACCAAGAAAATGGAGAAAATAACCGAAGATGGTGAACTGTGGCAATAAACCGATTTCATTCACAAGATAATTTAAAAAGAGACTTCTTATGCCTTACATGCACAAGAAAAATATAAATGACATTACGCTATTTTTCTCAGCTCATGACAGCCTTCAAAGAAAGATTTGTTTAAAAAAGAAATTTTACAAAATTAAGTATTATTTATGATTTGTGTTCTGGTATTTACAATCCAATCCTGAGTGGTGCGGTGGCCTAGAGGTGGACCTCCCATCTCACAATCAGGAGGCTGTGAGTTCAATCCTAGGTAGAGGCAGATATTTCTCTCTCTCGGCACGATGAGAATATATCTGCCGAATATGACTCCGCATTGGCAACAGGAAGGGCATCCGGCCAGTAGGCATTCAGGTCCATTCAGTTACCCAGACTCCACCCCACAAGGGATTATGCGGTCATTAAAAAGAAGAAGATGTTGATTTATAATCCAATCCAAATCCTAAGAACTGCGAAGGGATTGTTATATATATATACGGGAAAAGAATGTGGCTTCTACATGACTGTAAAATATGGTTTTAAATATATATGAAAAAAATATTTTTGTGTCTTCTCATTTATTGACTTAACTGTAAGATGAGCTGACCTACCGTATTTTTCAGAGTATAAGATGCACCTTCCCCCCCCCAAAAAAAGGCTGAAAATCTGGGTGCGTCTTATACACTGAATACAGCATTTTTGCTTCCCAAAACCCCACCCCTTAACCAAAATGGCCGTGCATAGCCTTTAAGAGGCTTTCAGAGTGGTGCTGGAGGCTGGGGAGGGCAGAAATGAGTGAAAAACAGGTCGTTTTTTGCTCAATTTTGCCCCAGCCTACAGGAGCACTCTATAAGCCTCCTAAAGGCTATGCAGGCCCTTTTTTTGACAAAAAAACAGGCCAGTTTTTGCAAACAATGGGCCATTTTTCGCTAGTTTTTGGGGGGGCTCACCTCCCCAGGAGCACTTTACAAGTCTCCTAAAGGCAATTCATTCCCTTTCTTTTGGAAGAAAAAACAAACAGGCCCGTTTTTACCAAAAACGTGCTGTTTTGGGGAAGCCTGCAGAGTGCAAAAACATTTTTTTTAAAAAAATTTAAAATCTTGGTGCATCTTATACACCGGTGCGTCTTATACTCCGAAAAATATGCTAATCCAGTTTGCTGAAGAACAATCTGTTCCCACTGTTTCTTTTCACAGAAACAGTTGTAGAGNGCTGCATTTCTGCAGTGCAGCTATAATTTAATTTGTGAGCTTCCTTATTTACTTCCACAAGGCGTGCTGCATGTTTTAAAATGAAACACATTCCTGCATTTTAAAGCAAAGGGAAAAAGGGAGAAAATTCAAAGCATTCTTAAAGATCCATCTCATCCTGAACACCCCCCTTTTTTTTAACTATTACCATCTGGCAGACGGTACAGGACATTAAAAACAAGGACAAAGAGGCTTCTATCCCAGGGCAGTAATTATACTGAATGCTACCTGCTGGGTAGTGCAATATTAATGCAATATCAGGGGTTCTCCATTCAGTTGTGTAGAATGTATGCTTGTGTTTTATTTATTTTTTTATGTACAATGCACACTGAAGATGGCATTTAATTTTGTTGTATGAGGTGCAATGACAGTAAACTAAACTAAACATGAACTGGTGTTGTGGCCCACCAGTAGAGCTGGCAGCAGATTCGGACAGTGAGGAGGTTGGGGAGGCACATGGGCCAGTCCTGGAGTCTGGGGAAGGCTCTGATGAGGGCTCTGTGTCAGAGGCAGAGAGGAGGCCAGGACAGCATGCCAGTTATCAGCTGCTTTCAGAGTCATAGATCAATGGGGCAGACAAACAGCTGGAGCCTGTTCCCAGTATGCTCATGCACAGAGTTGCCAGACGAAGGGAACAGCTAAAGAATAGGGAGTAAGGCCACAGGTGGATGGTGAATGGCCCCTCCCAAAGAGAATAAAAGAGGAACGAAAGGGGAGTGGAGTTTGCAGGAGACAATGAGTTCATGCCTGCATTCTAGCCAAGTATTGCAGCGTCTGAAAGATCTCGGCCTGGCCTCTCTCCAAACCTGATCAAGGTTGGTAATTGTGAACTATCTTGAAAGACTATGGGGGAGAGCAAAGACTTTGCTAGAGAGGAATTCACTGTAAATTAAACAAAAGGGGGTTATCGGGATGAGGACTCGGCTTCGTCAGAACAACTGTCATAAAAAGAGCATAATACAATACAACACAATAGCAGAGTTGGAAGGGACCTTGGAGGTCTTCTAGTCCAACCCCCTGCCTAGGCAGGAAACCCTACACCATTTCAGACCAACATCTTCTTAAAGACTTCCAGTGTTTATGTGATGATGTGACCACATCTCTTTTCTTCCCCCGTGGGTTTTGTTTAGGCTGGCAAGACCGACAGGAAAGAGTTTGTGAAGAAGAAAACGAAGCTGAACCCTTACGCCAGCTCCACGAACAAAGAGAAGAAAAAGCATAAGAATTTCATGATGATGCGATACAGTCACAACGTCCGGACGAAAAATAAGCGTTCGTTTAGGGAGAAGCAGGCAAGTTGACAATTCGTTATCAAAAAGGTCTCCAAATAATAGGTAGTCCTCGGCTTAACGACCACAATCGAGCCCCAAGTATCCGCTGCTAAGCAAGGCAAGTTGTTTTAAGTGAGTTGCTTGCCCCGTTTTGCAAACTTTCTGGACGATGTCGTTAAGTGAGTCGCTGCAGTCATTCAGTTAGCCACAGTGTTATTAAGTGAATCAGGCTCCCTCCTTGACTTTGATTGTCAAGAAGGTCGCAAAAGAGGATCGCGTGACCCCGGGGCGTGGCAACCGTCATAAATATGAACCAGTTGTCAAGCATCCGAATTGAAATCATGACCATGGGGAGCCTGCAATGGTCATAAGTGTGGGTAAAAGGTCATAAGTGACTTTCTAGTGCCCTTGTAACTTTGAACAGTCGCTAAGCGAATTGTTGTAAGTCAAGGACTGCCTGTATGCTTGAACAAAACACGGGTTTCTGTATGTTATGAATGCTGATTATTTTTAATTCTGTGGCCAGGCCCTGAAAAAACCAGATCAAGGATTGCTAGAAATGAGTAATTATAATGCCTGCTTATAAGATGGTTGCGCTTTGCCTGAAGGAAGATGAGACTAAAAATTACTCCGTGTTAATTAAGTGTGGGAGAGAATGCATAGTTGTCAGTGGTGAGCCACACACGAACCTTTTGAGTGAATTATGCATTTTTAGTTCTGTGCAGTGAGCAGTTTTTAAGTCATCAGTTTAGTTCCCTTAATACCCATCGCTTTCTTTTCTGTTTCCCAGTGGAAGTTTTCTATTTTTCCTAACTCTAGAATTGCTAAAAATCACCGTCTTCTTTTAACAACCCCATAATCCCTTGCAAAGGGAGGGGGGGCAATCTGGGCAAATGAATGGAGCTTCCTGTTGCCCTTCCTGTTGCCAATGCGGAGTTTTGTTCAGCAGATATAACAATAGCGATAGCAGTTAGACTTATATTCGATTTCGATTTTCGATTTTATTGNATACATACATACATACATACATACATACATACATACATACATACATACAGCCCCTTGTATGATCTTCCAGAAGAATAGAACACAATAGAATAGAAGTCATTGTCCCTTTAAATGTACACTAGTTAGCATATATTAAAATGAAATTTCATTGCATTCTGCTCCCAAAAGATAACCATTATGCAGGTACCCCACATACACTTTTGGACATATAGAAACATCATGGGGTTCTTTCCCCCCCCTCCCCCCCCCAGGGAAAGTTGCTCTGAGTAGGGTCTCTGGTTTGGCAGAAAAAGTAGTGAAAATTAAGGTGCTCCCCAGAATGCCTGTCAAATTATTTGGCTGCTTTGCCAAACAGAGGCAAGAAACGATTGCCTTACTCTTAGGCAGGTTCTTGAGGGAAGATGGGAGGGGAGCAGCAAAAAGTTTGGTGACATAACTCTTGGGTGGGGAGCAGCGTTCCTGGCCAGGGAATGCACAGCTATATTTCCCCCAAAGGAAGACTCGTCCCTTTTCCAGAAATACGTCCCAGCTCTGGCAATCCCCAGTGGTGTTGAGAAGACTGGTGAGACAGTTTAGTTTAGTTTATTGTCATTGCAAACCATACAACAAAATTAAGTGCCTTCTTCAGTGTACATTATTATAAAAATAAAAACACAAACACACATCCTTCACATGCTATATGATTGAATTGAAACCCCCTGATATTGCGTTAATATTGCATTGTACTGTAGAATTCAATATAGTTACTGCCCTGGGATAAAAGCTGTTTTTCGGCCTATTTGCCCTTGTTTTTATTATCCTGTACTGTCTGCCAGATTGTAATAGTTCAAAAAAAGGGGCGGGGCTTTGCCCAGGATGAGATGGATCTTTAAGGATGTTTTGAACTCTCTGAAGGCAGCGGGAGCTATAGAGCTCTTCCAAAGAGAGGAGGGGGCAACCCATGATCCTCTGGGCAATGACTTCGACCCTCTGGAGTGCTCTCCTATCTGCCCCTGTGCAGTTGGCAAACCAGACACAGGGGCACTAAGTTAAAACACTCTCTATGGTGCAGCAGTAGAAGGTCACCAGCAGTTTTCCATTCAGTTGTTGTTTCCTGAGAAGTCTCAGATAATATCATCCCTGCTGGGCCCTTTTGACCAGGGCTGCAATGTGAGTGCCCAGGTCAGCTCCCCTTTTATGACGACACCCAGAAGCTTAAAACTGGCCACTTCTTCCACTCGGTCTCCATTGATAAGCAAGGGCTGGATGTCTGATCTATTCCTTCTCTAAGCTCCTTGGTCTTATTGGGGTTGGTGCCCTTAGAAGCAGTTGGTAAGACAGAAACAACGGAGGCCTTTTGTCTCCCCCAGATCAGGAATATTCTGAAGCAAGGCATTGAGACCCCCGAAGATCAGAACGACCTGCGCAAGATGCAGCTGCGGGAGCTGGCACGCCTCAACGGGACGTTGCGGGAAGATGACAACAGGTAGGGTTTGGGACGGCCTGAAGGGGGTGCTGCAGGAAAGAGAGCCTTTTCTCCTTTATCCCTGCTCTGATTGGCATCTCTCTTGTCCGAAGGATTCTACGTCCATGGCAAAATACGGAGACTCGCAGCATCACAAATACCACCGTGTGCACCAAATGCGGAGGAGCCGGACACATAGCATCAGACTGTAAATTCGCCCGGTAAGCCTCGGAAGTCTTTTTCTCCCGTCTCTTGGCTTCTGCTTGTCCCGAATTGCGGTGCCCATTCTCCCTTGTCATGACCATAAACAGGGACGGAAGCAACTGCCCAACATCCTCCATTGGAGGAATCCGCTCAAGACCTCTGCAGTTTGGGTGCGCTAATTATTCCCCCCATGGTGTTGGTGTGTTTGTCAGCCCTCCAAGGCCAAATCAGGCAGGAAGCACAACTCACACAAGCACTTTATTGTAAGGCTACATTAATAGAACTGAGCATGTCTGAATATACAGACTGCCCGCTGCTACTTTCAACCGCCTGATCCATTTAGGGGCTGCTCATGTCAACCATCCCATTGGCTAAACCAGTGAAGGAAACCCCCAGGACATCTTTTACTAAGAGTAGTAATTTTACTGAAGATTCCATAGGGGTACAGAAGTTGAAAAGCCAATTCTGACAGTTTTGCGTGCAAACAGCATAGGAAAACCTCCTTTTTCCCCCTGTTCCTCCCACTGTCCGTTCATCTAGCCAATCAGTTCACTTTGTTTTGGGAACCTTCCGTCCACCTGGGACTTTTCCAGCTGATGACCGTGTGGTGCTGGGTTTGTCCCACACTTGCATTCCTTTGCGCTCCCCGATGGCCCCCCCCCTGCATTCTGGTGCCTTCCCCCTGCCCCCCCCCCCCCCTGTTGTTGCTGCTGTCAGGTTGCAATCAGGGTTTTT